ATTATAAAGATGTATGAATTTGTTCTGTATTAATTATGCTGGGTAAATAATCCTGCTTATTTGTGGTTTTGTTTCTGTTTTTTTTAAACAAAAATTAATTGACAATTAAAATTATAAACATTTAATACAATACTCAAAATATCTTCAAGATATTTCCATCTTATATGTTTTGTGTGTGTGTTTATTAATACAGTGTATGATATTGTTCAGTATTGTATTTGTCCCTAATTTTCTTGAGGAAATTGGGGTACTTGATCATTTCTTCATGCAATTTTCAATGAATATGTTTTTTAAATACCCCTGTAGATGGGAGAATACTTCTCTTTTTGATAATAAAATAACAGGCTTATGAGTAATACTAGTTTTTTTCTAGATAAATGATGTCTTGCTTTGTCTCATCAATATATATATGACACCTTGTGACATTTTAGATTGTTACTAACTTGGCTGACTCTAAATATTGTTATTTTTGAATAAGCTTATTTACTTTTAATATAGTCTTTACATCTAAATCAACAAAAATATTCTGTAGAATAATGCTATTATGCCCAAGGAAATTAATCTTTCTCCAAAATAATATAATATTCCTATTTGTGCACAATACCTATTTGCTTATTTACCATGATTTCTATGGCAAAAATTTTGTATCTTGTACTACTCTTAACATTAGAGACAATGCTAAAATAATGAGCTAGAATTTTTAAAAAGTTAATCTTGCACATTAGTGATGAACATGAAAATTATAATTTTAAAGTTGTCATATAATTACTTTATTTGTTATATTATAGAAATATGTATATATGCTATATTAATTACCCTAAAATGTTTTATTTTTAACGTTTCCTAGTATATTTTATTATATATTTATACTTCAGTTATGCAGTTAATGCCCAGAAAATCTCTAGGCATTCAAGATATTTTAACAAAAGTATGTTTCTGCTGTTTTTTTTTTAACCTTTTTTGAGACAGGGTATTACTCTGTCACCCAGACTGGAGTGCAATGGTACGTTCATAGCTCACTGCAGCCTCGACCTCTTGGGCTCTAGTGATGCTTTCACTTCAACCTCCCGAACAACTAGGACTATAGGAGTATGCCACCACACCCACTACTTTTTTTGTATTTTTTTTGTAGATACAGGTCTCGCCATATTGCCAGGCTAGTCTCAAATCCCTAAGCTCAAGCGATCTGTCTGCCTCAGCCTCCCAAAGTGCTGGGATTACAGACATGAGCCACTGCGCCCGGCACTTCTGCTGTTAATCAGCTTATTCTGTACAGTATGGATATAGAGAAGTCGCTCCTTGACCCAAACCTGAGACCATACTTGTCCTTCAGAGAGATATCCAATTTTTTAAAATTTAAGGTGTCAGCTTTATAAAGTAAAAGAATAATTCCTAAGTAGCTTTACTTTCTACAAGTTTACTTTTCAAGAAAACCTATTGCATTTACTTATGACATTTTTACAATATAAACATGAAATAAGTCTGATTTAATACAGACTAGGTTCTGGGTTACATATGGGGAAAATTTTCATTGATTTCTGAGTTTTAGTATTCTTAGTATTTATCATACCTGTAGAGATACTCTACATTGAGCTTACTTTGATCTGGGGTTGTATCATTGTGAAAGATATGGATGGATGGATGGATGGATGGATGGCAATAACACTGGGCTATAGACAAGAGTGCCCACTGATCTCTTCTTCCATAGTACCTTGCATACAAATCCTTTGTCTTTTCATTGAATTAGGAAACCTAAAGTACGTAGCAAAACTGATAAAATAGTAGGAAGTTGCATCAAATACTTGGAAAATTCTTAAAGTATTTATATTTACCCAAAAAATGATTCAAAACTGGCAGCTTCACTGGATAATTATAAAATTATTTTTCCCTTAGAAATGACTGAAAATAAATACTAAATAATTCTCTTTCAGTTTTAGATCTTATTGTGCATAAACATTGCTATTTAAAATGAAGACCTTCCATATTGTTTTCTTTATTATTTTGGCCTATTGTCAGTTCATCCTCATCTCAAAATCTGCATATGCTAATAATGTGTTTTTAAGACTCGGTTGTTAATAATAGCATGTATTGTTGTAAAATTGTCAGTCAACAAATTAGTGGAGGGGCTAATACACAGTATCCTTTGTGAATGCATGCAGTTTAGAATAACAACCACTAGCTAATGCTGGACAGTAGCCTAGATCCATTCAAGCACAAAAAAAAAATTAACTATAAATATAGATTAGAAAATATAAGCTATTCAAAAAGATGTAACAATGATAGATATTAAATCACTTTTAAAAGACAATGGAATTATTTACCTAAGAAAGATTTAAATTTACTGGTGAGGGGGCCCTGGCTTTTTCAGTGGCTTACCCTTTGCTAATCTGATCAAAACCATGGCCACTCTTCTTTGAATAATATTTTATATGCATAACATAAGGTACAGAGGAAACTACTTATATTGAAATAAGGACTTCAAGTTAAGAACCCCAAGTAGGCCCTAAAATATTTTAAACCCTGCAAGTGTTCATTATTTCCCACTTTTCAGCTGCCGCTATTCAAAATTAATTATTTATAAATTATTATCTTAAAATTAAAACTAATTTAGAATTTTGGTAGGAGTTTGTGAGTATTATATCTCAATCCCTTTAAGGTACCTGACATAAAACTGGGTAATTTAGGCACTGCTACTTTAAATTTTTATAGCAACAACATTGTGTCTAAGCTAGTCAGACCTATTTTTATCCAATTGTGGGAGCAGAAGCCTGTGTCAGCCTTCTCTATGTACTATCAAAGTTTCAAATGTGGTAGCCTTCTGTTTCTCTTAACCGTGTTGGGAAATTTGGGAAAATTTCTACCTTCTAGTGTGGTTCTTTTCATTTTTCATTTCTTAACCTGTTTTCATTTCACACCATGGCATTTATTTAATATATACTTTGTATTATGGAGAGGAAATATATAAATAAAATGTAAAAGTTGGGTTAATTTTCAAACAACTTTTTTATAAAGAGATTTTTTTTGTAAGGGGCACTTCCTAAGGAGTGACCTCTGTGTTATAAATAATGGTTTCCTTTTGAGGACATAGGACATAGCACCGCATTTAAAAGAATTCTCTAGATTTCACTCATAATCATATTTTTCAGTTATTAAAAATAATTCTTCACTAATAAGTGAAATTGCATATCCTAACATTTACTTTACTTTCCACCTGGAAAAATTTCTTGATGGAACCAGAATAAATGAAATGGTGGATGAATAAATGAAGTTTTAGTCTAACTTTCTGTTAGGGTAATTGTAGCTATTTCACAACATTTTGTTATATAATAGCATATTTATTATTAATGTAAAATAAGAACTTTTTTAAATAAATGTAAAGACAGTACTCTTAAAAATAGGTTTTATGCAATTTAGTTAATAATATAGAGAGAGATATACCCTTTGTTTCTGTTTATTGTGATGAAGATATATAAAGATGTTAGACTAAAAACATGTAGCAAACTACTGAACACACTTATTTCTAAGGAAAAATGTTCTTTTAAAATAGCTTTTCAGAAATGAAAAGACAACTATGATCTTTACACTATGAGGTAACTTTTTCATTTCTCTTGCCATACTAGTAATTAAATATTTTATATGTGTTTACATTTAATGTCAGTTATTTTGACATGTTCTGGATGGACTTATATGAAAATACTAAACTTATCTTAGAAAGTTAATCACATGATAGTATATGGACTTAAAAGTATTTAGAAATGCTCGATTTCTGTGTTACCCTAGACTTTAAAATGTAAAATACTCAAGATATGGTGTACAATAAAACCAGTATTCACTTTCTAAAGTCACCTAATCTAATGTCAACTAGTACAAAATTTTTTGCCATATAATTCATGACATTTGGGAAATTATGTCCTTTTTTTTCCTTATTTTTCTTTAATTGCTTGCATTTTTCATTATCTAAAATAAGGTTGAGATAACATAGGTAAAGTGGATGTCATTGAAACATTAGTTTTGAGGGAGACTAATGCTCTCTTGATTGTGTATAGTATATAAGCATTTCTATTTTTGTGGTTACAACAGGATGGTGAGGTAATAGTCTTTTTTGAAATATAATTATGCATATGTTTTACTTTTGAGTTCTGGAGCCAAAGCTAGTGCTTTTAAAGTTGTCTCCCAAATTGTGGGGCTGGTGTTAGAAAACATTTATTGATCATGTTAGATGTAAAAGTATTATGCTAGGTTCCAAGGATAGAAAGGTCAACAATGAGAGGTTGCTCAAATTTAAGGATACTTCCTTCAACAAGGATTAAGTTTTGGTGTTAGATTTATTTGTGGTCAAAGGATCATGTTGTTCCAGAATTATTATTTCAGTCAATACTCATTCTGAATTGAATCAGTTGGCATAGCTAATGTGCACTGAAATAGACAACCAATTAACCAGTTCTCTACAGAGTGATTTTTCTTGTAGATTAAGGTTTAAATATGGCTACAGACTTCAAAGTCACCCTATTTTCTTATAACTTCGTCTTGATTCTTCCGTTTAAATGTTCAGGTATATAGTGTTTTCTGAAAGCCCTTTTATATCTTAGTTGGTATAGTAATAAACAGCTTCAGGTGCTACAGAATTAATGATTATACGGTTTTCTTCACTCTTGAAAATGTTAGGAAAGTCACTGAATTCTTTTAAAATAGAATAATTCACATATTTCACATAATCCATTTAGGGAATTCATTTTAGAAAGCAGGCAGTTTTGTTTGTTGTTTATTATAACTGAGCAACTGTTATCTTCACTGAGAATTACTTTGAAAGGCAGATTTTGTTTTTTTAGAAATTCTTAAGTTTAGTTTTAAATTGCTCAGAATATGTTGGGGAAAAGAAAAAATTTACATACTCCAAAATTTTAAACAATTACCTTTTTCAAAATCAGTTTGATGCATCATAACCAAATAGCAGAAGGGCACTAAAGATCAACTGAGCTGCTTTTTGACTAACATTTCAGGGATTGTGAAGCAGCAGATAGACAGCCATATCACAGATCCAGATCAACAGAACAACAGCCTCTCCTTGAGCGGACCACCACCCGCTCCAGATCCACTGAACGTCCTGATACAAACCTCATGAGGTCGATGCCTTCATTAATGACTGGAAGATCTGCCCCTCCTTCACCTGCCTTATCGAGGTGAAAGATAAATCAATCAGACTAACTTCCCCTTTGCTCCACTAGCACACCATTTTATTTTCCCAGCAGCTAAATGGTCTCTTCTGTCATCTTTGGCTGATCACTAGTAACAATCAATACTAACCTTTTCAATGTAAACACACTATTTATATTCAGTGGATATAAAAGTGTGTGGCTACCATTGTAATCTGTTTATTGACTGTCCTGACTGCATTTGTTTTGTGATTTCTCATTAATCAGGAGCCCTGGGTAAATTCCCTCATTGACTGTCATCTTCTACTACAGAATGAGAAACTATCTGTGTCCATTACACATCACTTTTCAAATCATCGTAATGTTTATAAATAAAACTAGATTTTTTAGTTTCTTTCTATCAATACCAATATCATGTATTAACCAGTATTTTGTTTAGTTGAATCTTGAATTGTTCAGGGATTTATTTGTACTTTCATGAGATGTTTTCTAATGAGGAGGTATTTAATATAAGCCTGAGTAAAAATCTCTGGATCAAGGGAGAAAGGTTAGTGTTAAAAGTTTGAAATCTGGTAGAAAGAAAAGTAGTACCTTTTCTTTCTTGAGCTGCAAAATTCTCCTCTTGCTTTCATATGGATAGAATGCTAATTTACATTAATAATTCCATGGATTTTACTATAGAGTTTGTGTGCATGTATGTGTATGTATGCATATTACACCAAAAATAAACATCTTTTGCTATTTAGTCATTCAAATATCCATATTTTGTCCAGTTTTCCTAACCTTTTAATCTGCAGCTAAACTTCCTTTTGAATTGTACTTATACAGCTATCATATGAACCAAATGTAGTTATTAAAAATATATAACTCATTGTACTGAAAATGAATATTAATGGTGTATCTTTAGGTCTCATCCTCGTACTGGGTCTGTCCAGACAAGCCCATCAAGTACTCCATTGGCAGGACGAAGGGGCCGGCAGCTTCCACAGCTTCCACCAAAGGGAACATTGGAGAGAAGTAAGTTTTATTTCTAATTATGTCATTTAGGAAATACACATGGAAGCTAAGGTGAATCAAGATTTTCTTACTACCTTTGTGTTAATTTTCTTCTTTTGTTAATTGTATGCCTTGTCTGTATTTGATAATAGTTATATTTATAAATATTATGTATCTTTGCATAAAAATTTGCAATAGTTCCAGGTAAAATAAGGTATCTTTATTGCTCTTGCACATTTTAAAATTTAAATAATTGCATCTTAAAAACTAAACATAATACTCTTAAATAAGCAGTTGGATAATATTTCTTTGCTACAACTAAGTTTATGTAATTGTTGATAGTTATATAAAGTTTATTAGTAACTAGCCAAATCAATTTTCACACACTGCAAAGGACTGGTTAGCTGATGCACAACAATGGTGATCCTTCTCAAAACTGGAGAACAAGAAAAAGGTAATCATGAATATACAACGAAAGATGCATGTTGTACTGATGTTTTTATTAATTTTACATTTTTGCATAAGAAGCACTATTTGCTGACACACACATGAACATACTTCCCAAACATCTATAAATTTTTGGATAAAGAAACTTTTAAAGCATGGATAACTGAATATAATGATTTTTAAGATCATTTTTAAAATGATCCCTTTATTTGGTAACTGGACGTGCTTTGCAAATATACATATATATTTAAATCATTTAACTTTTCTCTAGTAGATAATACATTCTGTGCCTTTGGAAATTTCTGTTGTTTTTAACCCCTGTGCTTTGGTTCCCTTTTTTGTTTTGTTTTGTTTTGTTTTTTGATTTTGTTTTTGTTTTTATTTTGTTTTCCCTAGACAATGGAGTCAAGGAGATAGAACCTTATGAAGGTCTGTACATAAAGGAGGGTTTGTTTTATGCTAACAGCCTTTTGGGGGGCTAGTAAGCAAAAATAAACCCAACTGCAATTGATGTCCCTTCATTGTATAGACATATACAGTAAAATTATTTTGTTTTATGATATCTGACAAATATTCAACCTTTTTTTAACTTGGAAATTATACCAAGGAGTTAAATTTCTTTGATTCATCAAGTAAGAATGCAGAGTTTAACTTCTTTTAAATGACCAGATAAAATGCTCTCTTTCATAAAATTTTCGTGTACCTTGTAACCAGAATACTAGTTTTGGAGTAAGACTTTAATCAAAGATGTCAATTGCAGTCTGCGTTTACATCATTGAGGATGTACACATAGAGTAGTTCTATTTATCATCATATATTTCATTTTGTATTTATGATGATATTTTTAATTATTCAATTTGGCTTTCTAGGAAAGAAAGTTGTTGAATTAGATAGTGTTTGTCATTTGTGTTTTCAACATCATTTTTCATGTTGTAGTAAGACTCTGTATGTCAGAGTTAAATATAATATAGTTTTATCATCAAACACTGTGACTCAGAAAAAAATATTGAATGGTAATATATGGAGTGTCATACATTTGCTAGATCAATACAAAATCCTCTACCAGTTATGGAAATCTGAAATTAACTTTGTATCTTTAAAAACTTTTGATTGTTTACTGATGAATCTCCAGCACATAGAATACTGCCTGGCACATTATAGACCCTCAATAAATCTTTGTTGAATGAATGCATGAAATATTTATTTAAAAAGGGAAAAGCTATCTCAAACAGTATACAAAGAATCACTAAAATAATCTTGTCATTTTATATATGTTTATATTAAAATTCATATTTCTGTAACCTATTTGTAACAAATTTGTAAGTGTGCTGCATTTGAGCAGCAATATTTTTATAGTCTTATATAACTTGTTGATATAAGTTGTGTTCTTATTAACTGGATGATGGTCAACTTCTGTTTTGCGGTTCTTTCTATTTATAACTACCATAATTTTGAACAATCCAGTGCTATTGTGACTGATAGTCTATTACGCTGCATGATAAAAAGCATACACAGCATTTGTATAGCTCTTAATTATTTGCATAAGATTGCAAATTTTAAATTTTATAATTTTGATAATTTTTATAAATTTGATAATTTTAAATTACTTTTCCTAAGGAAAGTTTAGTAGTATTTGTGGAACTTTTTGTCTCTTTGATATTTTTAAAGGTAGAGTTTCAACATCATTTATTGTCATACAAAGTCAGAAACCATAGTCTACACACATTTTTAATTGAATTTTTAATGTCTTTTGTAGCAATGGTCTATTGAAATATAAGTAGCTCTGTTTTGTGTAATAATAAATATACCAGGAAACAGAGCCTATTGTTAATACCAAAAGTCAGGGTTGATGAAGTTTCTGATGGGTTTCTCAACAAAGATTCTCTTTTTTGTTTTTTCCTCTATAAAATTAATTAAAACCACAATTTTCCTTTAAAGTCCCCAATTGTGAGTTTTCCATTTTTTTTATTTCATAAAAGAGGAGCCAAAACCTCCCTTATCCTTTTTAGTATGAAATAAAAGGGGTTTTGTTTTTTAGTTTTGTTTTACATAAAAGTATGGATGATTTTTAAAAGTGTTTTCATAAATGTTGATATCGAAACTTCAGTAGATTATGTAATTTTTTAGTTTTAACGAAGATATAGAATGTCTCTTTTAGAAATCTTCAAGTTCAGTTAATCTTTAGTAACACAAAATAGACTATCAGTAGATGGTCTAGATCAGATTAGATGGTCTAGATCAATTTATGTTTGGATTATCTCCTGAAAAGTTAATTGTGAGAAGTTGTAATTTAATGGCATTATTTTAGAATTAAAGTATTGAAATATTTATTTTCAAATCCTTTCCAATAGCCAAAATATGAGCAAGTCATGATTTAACTCTTTGTGATTTTGATTATTTTATATTTTAGTCTGTTATATATTTAGCCATTTCTCTTTGCTTAGAAACAGAGAAATAAAGTAAGAACTATTATAGAAAGTACAATGTACTAAACAACTATAAGGCACTTTTATTTTTTTTTCTCTAACTTTTATGTACTGCCATTTTGTGAAAAGAACATTTATAATGCCATTTTCTGTTTTTCTAGAAGAAAAGTTATATAACGTTATCTTTTAGTAATAAACAAAGTTTATAGATATTTTGCCTACTTTACCCAGTTACCCACATATTACAGATATTTTAAAAGTCACAATTTCTCTTTTACAAATCATAGTCATCATAAAAGCAGACAATGTGAGAATTAACCAGTAAATTTATTTACTTTTCTATAGCATGTCAGAAACTTATTAAAAGTAATCTATTGGGCTAGGTTCAGTGGCTTACCTGGCACACACCTGTAATCCTATTACTTTGGGAGGCTGAGGCGGGTGGATCTCTTGAGCTCAAGAGTTCAAGACCAGGCTGGGCATCATGGTGAAACCTCATCTCTACAAAAAATACAAAGTTAGCCAGGCATGGTGGTGCACATCCACAGTCCCAGCTACTCTGCAGACTGAGGTGGGAGGATCACTTGAGCCCAGGGGACATAGGTTGCAGTGAGCCGTGACTGTTCCACTGCACTCTAGCCTGGGCAACAGAGACTTTGTTTCTAAATAAATAAATAAATAAATATTGGTCTCCTTATCATTATGAATAATTTAGAAATTTTTATTTGTTTAGTTTCATTGAAGAGTAACCTATTTGGTCTTAATGTTTTCCTTTACTCTTGTTTGTGCAAGAGCAGAAGTTAATGAAGAATCTGAGCGTATGGAAGAGCAGGGGGGAGAAAAGCAGGGAGAAGAGGTCAAGGCAGGTCTGTGTACCTAAAATAAATAAGTGAATGTTTTCAAGTATGACCTTTCAATTTTACATAAGACTTTAGGCTCCAAATTTATAAATGAACAATGAAGAATAGATTGTTTTTCAGCACTAACTTTAAGATAAATTACCTAATTTTATTAATGAATAGGTATTACTTAAGCTGTTTAGGCAATGTGTCAAAATATTTAATTTACCCAACTGGCTGAATATTTTCTCTGATGTTTAAATCAAACTAGAATTATAGATAGTGCCCCTGACCAAGATATACACCTAACCTTTATCCAGCTTTACATTCACCTTTTTTGTTTATTCAAAAAGATTTAATGAGTACCTACTAGAAAACGGTATTTTATCATGTGTTATGCTGAGTAAAGGTTTGTTGAAGCTTTAGCTCCTTCTGCCATGGATTTTGAATCTAGTAGAAGCAAATTATAAAGAAATACCACCATGGCATGTATGTACCTATGCAACAATCCTGCAGGATGCAGGACGTGTACATGTACCCCAGAGCCCAAATACAATTAAAAAAAAAAAAGAAAAGAAATATAGAACAGAATATAAATTCCATTAAAATGTTTATAGACCATGATCAATTTTCCATTAAATTTTTTCCTAAAATAAAGCAATTAACTATAGATTTCTCTTCTTCATCCCACTTCAGTATTACTCTAACATTTATTGTCAATTGTAATTTCTCCCCATCTTTCTAAATGAAATGCATACCTTTTATTGTTGTTATTTTTAAAGTCCCTATTATGTTTATGTATCATAACGTTTAATGCTCTTGAAAGGATTTTAAAACTTAAAAGATTCTGGCGTGGCCAATATGGCAAAACCCAGCCTCTACTAAAAATACAAAAATTAGCTAGGCATGGCAGTGGGTGCCTGTAGTCTCAGCTACTGCAGAGGCTGAAGCAGAGGAATCACTTGAACCCAGGAGGCAGAGGTTGCAGTGAGCCAAGATTGTGCCACTGCACTCCAGCCTAGGTGACAGAGTGAGATTCCATCTCAAAAAAGTTAAAACACTGTATAATCAGTAAATCAGTGTATTTGTATATACATCTTTTATCAAATTTTCACTATTTTTATTTGAAACTCAGAACTGAATCCTAATCTTACCAAGTTGTCAAGTTTTTTAAATTGTGACTTTCTTTGAACAATGCAAAATATCTTTAATTTTATCAAGTGTTTAACTGACTGCTTTTTATTTATGAATAATAGAGTGTACTTTTTGTGCCTTTTTTTCTCTGCTTACCATGGTGTGAAAGCAATGCTATTATGTATATTGTACATGAGATATGTTTTCATGGAAGCATTCTCTCAGTGGAGTTTTTAGTTTTACAACTGAAAGCATATGAAGCTACTAGAATTGCTCATTTTCAGTAACTTTTTAATGTCGTAAAGGTGACAGATATCATCAAAGTACATCTGATAATGGAAACAGGCAAGTTTAATTGCATATTTCTAGACATGTAGAATTACTTTCATTCTGAATAGCTGGTATCTAACTTCTGGAATGTCATCCTTCTTCCATTTTCCTGGAATAATTTAGGAATCACATTTTTATGGAATTCTATAAGAATGAATTTCACTTTAGCTGAGCTGTTAAGTTAATGTTTTTCTATTAGTTCATTCCTCTGTATCTCATATAGTCCATACAAACACTGAGGCCTTTCACACCATTAATTGTCTTCCACATTAAAGTCATTTTTTAGGATAGCATTAGTTTGGGGACTTCAGAAATAGTTAATAACACTTTTATTTATTTTAAATTCATTAAGATAAAGAAGCCCATGTGCTGAACCAGTTTGTTGCTGGTGTTTTATTCTCAAAAGTAATTAGTAAGTTGCACCAATTTTTTAATTAGCATAAAAACATCTATACTATAAAAATGATTTTTCATTTCTTATGCTTGTTTTTATTACTTTTCCTATGAGATGGGAAGTGTATACATTTCTCTTATACTTATTATTATGGAGTGTCATGTGTAATGCATGGATTTGTTTCCCTGTTGTGTGATTTCATCTTTTTTGATGTGCTTGGTTTTTATTTTGGTTGTTAATGACCTTAATCATTAATCACTATTGTCTGTTTTCAATATTATAAAGACAATGAGGGAGAAACACCAA